TAACGTAATGAAAACATATATGTATATGTTACCTATTCTGATTTACAAGTGAAGCTGCCTGTAAAGTAAGATAAGCTTTCAGTGCTTTAAAGCTTTCCTCATCACACAAGAGCGAAAGGGATGCGCTGTCAATGCACAGCACAGACCCTCGTGAGGACTGTGAATGCCGGCTGTGGGCAAGGTTTCACAGCCGGTGAGCGCCGTACCGAAGTGGTTAAAAAGCCACTTTGTAAACACCTTGCTGTGGCCTGCTTTCTAGTTTTCTACTCTCTTGCTCATGCCTCAAAATTGAACAAGATTCTTCCAACCTACCTAAGATGGTTAATTTATAAGATCATCATTACTCTCACTGACACGTGATATCTAAATGTTAGGTATATCTAACTATTCAAAGTTCTAATTTGATATTATTCAGGCTGATACACGTGTTACTTGTCCTACTCTGATTTTAGAGACTGAACCAGGTCGGGATATGTTCCCACTCAGGATACGAGGAAATGATCATGCTTCATTGTTTATCCATCTCCTCCTCTCAACAGCAGTTGAGTTTTCACTTTCTGCTTATAAGGCTCTGAATCCTCATCATGGTATCTACCACGCTGGAGGACTACAATAACACATGCTCGACAAAATGTGCTGCAGTTAGCACATTCGTGATCCAAATGTTAAAGTGCCAACCCGACGATACCCAAGTAAGACCAACACTAAAATGATATTAAATCCTGCCAATTGGCTTGCAAGATGATTTTATTTTCAACTCGCTATAAATCATATTTTTTTAAGTTGCCTAAATAAGTAAGCTGCTATATCATGTTACAAAAGAAGATAGGCACAGAATACCTAATTACACAAGAAGATACATATGAAAACTAGGCCTGGAAATGTCTAGTTCTGTTTAAAATTAGAGCTAGCATAAAGGAAGAAAGAGCTTCAGATGGTAATCCTCTTCTCCCCCTTACCCAAACCTTTGCTTAAAATTTCTTCTGCCTTGAATGAAAAACAACAAAGATCACTTTTATCTCATATGGCCCCATGAAATTTCCTCGTATTGGGGGGAATTTCAACAAACATGACAGCCCCTCTTTATATAAGAGGTAGTAAGGACATAAATTTGGGGTGGGCAGGAGAAAACAAACATACGCTTAACTTTTTTAAAGTGCCTTGCCACTAGTTCTAAGGAAATAAAAACACGGATGATAAATTGAGAATGAAATGAAAGCAAACCTCCTTTCATTTTTAAATCTTCTTTTTAGCACTTAGCAGCCCAACTCATATTTTGCTTTTTCACAACTCAGCCAAATCTACTCAGCTTTGAAGTTCGTGAGATTATTAAATGCTATATAAAAATGAACAATAAGGCTTCTACAAAATAATAAAAGATGAGACTCTCATGAAGATTTAATAGCCACTCTAATTTAAGAAAACTGGCCAGACACTATTAAATATATCTGTTTTACTCTATATTAATCATCAATAAATATCCTTAGGCAAGTAGCTAGCATTTTAAAGTCTTTTGCAAATAAAGTTTAATATCACTTAATCATATATTACAAAGAAAAATAATGAGCATACATAGTAAGGCTAAATGTGCCAATGCCAATTAAAGTCTTTATTATCATGAAGCTACTACGTTTCTTTAGTTAAACTGGTCATCTCACGATTGGGGGTGAGGGTGAATAAAACATCATGAGAGCCTGTCTAACAGCAGAGTTCTCTCCTATTTCACACAGGCGGGCTTTTTTGCTTCCAGGCCCCACCCTATTGCGGCTCACGCTAACAGGCTTGCTCACTCTTTGCTAATGACTTTTTGATCTGCCTGATGTTGAATTGAAACCAATTCTGAATGTGTTCCAAGACCGGCTGTTTGGTATATCGCATAGTTTCAGAGTCTACTCCATGCAGAACAAGAAATAACATACCACAAACCACTTCACTCAAATACCAAATCCGTGACCAAATCACAGGGCTGAAGAAAATCGCCAGTCTTCCAATCCAGTTCCTTGAATCCTGGCAGATAGTCCACTTAACTTTTAAGTAAAATCTATTTGTCCTGGATTTTATTAAGTCAAATTTAACTTACACTATCATGAGTAAGGGGTGGAGGTGGTATCTGCATACAAATATTCAATCTGTTCCCTATAAACTAGAAAATTTGGGGGGAAAAATCAACAGAAATTGTCTATAATGCATATTTTTAACTGAAACTAGATAAACATGAGAAGTGACTTCATTGCTATCAATAAGAAAAAAATACCAAAAAAAGATTAAACTTTTTAAAACTTTCAAGTAATATTGGCAATTAGATGATTCAGGCCACTTAATAAAAAAGTCCTAATGACAAGAACATTCAATAACATGAATTTTTGGGTTTGTTTTTTTTTTTTTTTTGAGACAAGGTCTCATTCTGTTGCCTGGCCTAGAGTGTAGTGATCATAGCTCACTGCAACCTCAAACTCTTGAGCTCAAGTGATCCTCCTGCCTCAGCCTCCCAAGTAGCTGGGACTACAGGCATGCACCACCACACTAAGCTAATTTTTTATTTTGAATAATTTTCTTCAGTATTCTTTCCTTGTATGCTCCTGTTCAAAAAATGTATTTGCCACCTCACTTCATTTATTCCCCAATTTTTTTAGAATATGCAAGATATGAAAGCCTATAACAAAATATAGTCCCTACTTTGTTCTCTCTGAAATAGCTTTTCATACATCTTGAGTTTCACTAAAGCTTAGCTGCCAATAATTGGGGGATGGAAGAATAATAGTTTTTAATTGCTTTATCTTATCTTATGACCTCTAAGATAAAATAAGGCTGGGCATGATGGCGTAAGCCTATACTCTCAGCTGCTTCGGAGGCTGAGGCAGGAGGATCACTTGAGCTCAGGAGTTCAAGGCTACAGTGAGCTGTGATTGCACCACTGTACTCCAGCCTGGGTGAAAAGAGCAAGAGACTATTTCTTAAAAAAAAGATAAAATAAAATCACTCCATGACCAAACTCATGTGTTTTCCTGATTCTTACAACTTTACAAAAAAGAAATTCTAAGGCTGCAATCAAGACGGATGAATGCAAAATATAAAATGTAGAATAAACCATCATATATAACAAACATAAAAACAGACTAAAAGGGGTTTGAGTATTTGATGATCATTTTTCCCCTTAAAATCAAATAATTTTTAAGAATTATTATATCACCTAAAGATTAAGAAGGCTATGATTATATACCATCTTGCATATTCCCATGATAGATGTGCTTAATAACACTACAGAAGCTTCTTACTCATTAATAATCATTAAGCAATCCAACAAAAGATTAATGCACTACATAAGTTTGATCGAATATTATAATTCCATTCCTAAGAACTACCTACCGAAAAGTAGATGTGATTCTAAGACAAAATGTCCCTTCTTCTGGTCATCTCCTTTATGAAATACAGTCAATTCTATTTTGCTCAAAGGCCAATGAACCAATTTAGGTAGTCTGTGCTGTCTTGATTTCTTTTCCCCTTCCTGCTTTCCAACATTTGCTTATTTCACTATTTATTAGCACTTCCACCAGAGGACAAGTGAGACGTAAGAGAAGGTGCAATTCAAACCAGTCAGTTTTGCTCCTTATTAGCAACTCTGCTGAGGAAGAGTGAATGTGAGAAAGACAGAGAATAAGAAAGTTAGCTGGGACCAGAAGTTGAAACTAATGTCTAAAAGGAAGTTCTGGAATTATAAGGTTAATTTTAATGATTCATGTCCTTCCTCTAGAAAATAAGGATCTGATTATAAAACTAATACTTGTACCATATGTACATATGTCTTGAGCAAATTAAAAGAATCCCAGAACCTCTTAGCCCCTCGGTGTTATTACAGGAGGTATTCTAGTCTTCCTGGGAGATACCTCTGAGTCAGTGGAGTTGAAGACAGTTAGTTGCTGCTCGCTGGCATGGATCTTCGGATATTAACTGCCCGGCCGTTTGTGTACACAGCTGCTTAAGATGAAGGCACTGTATTTGTTTCCATCCTCAACCCCCTTCCTCTCTCTGACAGTCAATCTCACACTTCCAAACCAATGTAACCTCAGTAACTCAAAAGGATAATAAATGAAAGCTATTTTAAAAAAAGAGGACCAGAAGAGAAAGAAAAGTGAAGACTAACTTCAAATTCAGGGAATGTTCTCAGTAAGGGGGAACCTCTCAGGAGGAGTCACAGTTTCAGATGTGCATGCTATAAAAAGCAGGTTTTGAGACAAGGATCATCTTATTCCCCACACCAATGACCACACGATAACAAACAGCCATCAGTGGCCCATACACATGGCTTATAGTCTTGTTTTGTATAGGCCAATGTTGAGCATTCAGATTTCAAGGCTCTTTAAAAACTGGGGTATCTGGCATCCCTGAAACAAGTGGCCACATGGTCACAGTTGGCTGGAGCATGGTAGCTTGGATGGGATGCGTGAACTTCAATTTTTGCAAGAGTCCCACTGCAGGCCAGTTCACTCTTCCTGGCCCCAGAAGACGGGTCAATTTGCCACCCTTGCCGTAAGATGAAGTGCCCTGCCTAATGACAAAGTCAGAAAAGCAGAGCAGGTAAGGGGTAGGAGCCATCAACTCCAGTGCAATGGTGAACTGTGCCTTTAATCCAGATGCATTTAACATTAGACTTTATCAGCTCCTCTCATAAAAGATCTGCTTTAATTTTAGTTCCCCTTCCATTTGTCTCTGGGTTATGTAACATCACAGGAGGTCACACAAGTCTCCCAAAAAAGAAATTTAAGCTGTCTTTTAAAAATAAAAAAAGAACCATGCATAACAAAGACAAACACAAAACTGAAACTTGCATTTTTCTCCCTGACAAGAAAGCTTCACCCTCCCTGTTAATCTCAAAAATTATAATCTTAAGGGAAAAAGAAATTAAAACATGGACGACAGAAAACCATGGCCTGCCCTGAGGACTTCCGATATGCCATATTCTCAACATGTTGTTAAGCAGAAAAACAGAATTAACATCTTACCATCTTCCAGCTCAAGACAAAGATTATAGACAGCCACAGGTCTCTTCGTCCTCTGGCCTTGTCTCTTTGATTGCCTTGGTGGAGCATTTGGGGGTGACGCTGACAAGCAGGTGGTCTCAGGGAATGTGGCATCAGGCGGGGTCCGAAAAATCTGCCATCAAAGCATAAAGGACACGAATTGTTTACCACGAACAGAAACCTGGGTATTGCCACAGCAAATTGGCATCGAACCACAGGTGATTTGGAGTTCATACAAGACAGGCTAGAGCTAAAAATCCATTCCTTCAAACTTAGGGTATACGTCACAGGCCTTTTATTCATTTATTTTTAACAGAATATTTAAAAATAAAAAATTCTTCATTAAGTAAAAGCAACATCAAATCATTGTAGTTCAAGTAATTCATTCCAAAGCTAACCAAGTATAATTATCTTTACCAGGTATAGACAGTTCTATAGCTCTTCAACCTCAAAGGCAGTAGCCAGGATAAAACATTAAAAGAAGTATCTCAGTAAATTTCACAGAAGGTTCTATTTATATAAAAATGCTGGTCTTCCATTTTTTTCCCCAAACTACATAAACAGAAACATATGACTGCAAATATTTTTTATACATTTAAAAATGGCTTGTGCTTATGAAATTACCTTTCCGGATTCCCATTTACATTTTTCATAAAATGTTTTCTATATTTTATCAATTCATTTAATACCCTCCAATCTCTTAATAATTTGCCCTTCCATTTATGAAACCTAGACTATTAGCATGATTTATCTATAATGTCATTCATATATCAGCAATAACAACATTAATTAAAATGTGCTGCTTCTTTGCTTAGCAATTTTTTTTCTTTTGAGAAAAGCAATCTGTGCCACAAAAGGAAGCATGCGAGGTGATTTATAATAGACCTCCCGTAGCTGCCAAGACCTGAGTTCAGAGGCTTCCTTCCAACAACACTGGAGGCTCTTCAGCCTTCAAGAAAGTCATAAAATAAAATATACGAGAGACATCAACCTAACAGACACTGCACCTCCAAAGGGCTGACGTTCCTCAGGTGGTAAAGCAGGAAACAGGAAGAAAGCCAGCTTGAAACAAAACATAAACATAAAACTCACAATAAGAGGCACTGAATGAACATCCCACTGTTACAAGGAAATTAAGACTCACACATTTAAATAAAAACAGGCACTGACCTATGATATGAGTGTCACTTATATATGTGTAGTACATTTAATAACTAACAATGATGTTGGAGTTTTAACTGCACAGTCTAAAAGTTCTCACCTAAAAACTATTACATACCAACAAAAATAAGTAATTTCAAGAGAGCACTTGCTTTATAGTACCATACTGCCCCCTCATGTGTAAATGGAATAAAAAATGATTTAAATTACTGTGGACAAATATTTGCTCGTGAAAATTTAATTTATTGCTCCAACTGGTAACCTGCTAACACCATATTTCCACCGAATCCGTGTTCCAATAGGGCACTCTGGCAAAATAGCAAACTACTTATCTGCCTTAAAAATCCTCTGCTGCCTAGACTATTGTCCACGGCTGGATTTACTGACATCTGTCATGGTTCAGATTAAAGGAGGCTGTGGAGTGAACAGGAGAGCAGTAGGTTAAGAAAAGCATGATAATAGTGAAGGAGAGAAGAAAAGATGAGAAATGTAATTAGAAAATAGCACAGAAAATAGCACCTGTGACCAACACTTAAAATAGCTCCATGGCCAGGCGTGGTGACTCACGCCTATAATCCCAGTAAGATGGGACAATCACTTGAGCCCAGGAGTTTGAGACCAACTGCAGCAACATAGTGAGACTCTCATCTCTACAAAGAATTTTTTAAAGATTAGCTGGGCGTGGTGGCACATGCCTATAGTCCCAGCTACTGAGGAGGCTGAGGCAGGAGGGTCGCTTGAGCCCAGGAGTTTGAGGTCACAGTGAGCTACGATGATGCCACAGCACTCCAGCCTGGACAACAGTGAGACTCTATCTATCTATCTATCTATCTATCTATCTATCTATCTATCTATCTATCTATCTATCAATCAATCAATCAATCAATCAATCTCCTTGACTTACCTATGTTTGAGTTGTTTTTGTTTGTTTGTTTGTTTGTTTGTTTGTTTGTTTGTTTGTTTGTTTTAAGAGACCGGGTCTCGCTATGTTGCCCAGGCTGGAGTGCAGTGGCTATTCACAGGCGCGATCCCACTACTGATCAGCACAGGAGTTTTGACCTGCTCCGTTTCCGACCTGGGCCGGTTCACCCCTCCTTAGGTAACCTGGTGGTCCCCCGCTCCCAAGAGGTCACCATATTGATGCCGAACTTAGTGCGGACACCCAATTGGCATAGCGCACTGCAGCCCAGAACTCCTGGGCTCAAGCGATCCTCCCATCTCAGCCTCCCGAGTAGCTGGGACTACAGGCATGCACTACCGCGTCCGGCTATGTTTGAGTTTTACAAATATGGCAGATGCCTCTGGGATGTTACCAGAATAGTAAAGCAAACCGCACACAGAATCCATATATCCAAAGTATAAATAAGCAATGGAAAAGTTATATCCCAAGAACTGTACTGGATTGACAACAACCTTCCAAGCAGACCTTCCTGGAAGATCACACTGACTAGAACAGTGCACACACTGAAAATTGCTTTACTTCCTTCTCCTCCTCCTCCACTTTGAAGTGGGGGTGTCAGGGAAGGTGTCAGGGAGTAAGGTATGGAGGTTGTCCCTGTGTGCAGAGCCGGGCTAGCAAGCAACACGAGCCCCAGGAGTGTGACTCCAACAGTCCTAAGGGAGTGCTCTTAGTCCTGCCCACCCCCAGTCCCAATCCCAGGCTGGGGCCAGACTCGGCTGGTCTCCAGAAGACTTAAGACACCATCCAGTTTACATCAGAACATCTGGGTACGGGGACATGGCTTCAGGTTACAAAGCTCCCCAGGTTGTTCTTCTGTGCAGCCACAGCTAAGAAACACTGATTTAGATAGTCATTCCCAAGTATGCTACACTTGTCTTGGATGGATGAAAGTCAAAATCAAAACACCAGAAGAATTATTTCAGAAAAACTGGCACTGGATATACACAATTCCTTAGACCTCCCGTAAGTCCTAATTAGCATCAAATGGTTAAAGATTCTGAATACCCACCACCCCCCTCAGTGAGCTCTATGTCACAGAGGCTGAGTATGCCAAATCCGAAAATCCAAAATCTGACACTTTTTGAGCACCAAACCAACATGACGCTCAAAGAAATGCTCATTGGAACATTTTGGAGTTTGAATTTTTGGATATGGGATGCTCAACCAGTAAGTATAATGCTGATCTTTCAAAATTAAAAAAATAAATAAAAATTCAAAATACTTCTAGTCCTAAGCATTTTGGATAAGAGATATTCAACCAGTATTAATATTTCAACAAGCTAAACTATTACCCAGATTAATACAAGTATCAAATCACAGAGGCTAATTTGAGACAGCACTATTCCGGCTTTTAAATTTTACCAGCTTAGACATATTTCTTACAACAGTATACCTCATTTTCTCATGCGTATAATGAGGGCATAACACCTAAATCTCAAGTTATTATAGGGATTGAGATGATGTTTTTAAGTGTTCAGTATAGTAGTTGGCACAGAGTAATCGGAAATAAATGGCAGCTACTTATACTTGTAAATATAGTCACGACAGTAAACAATGATAAAATGACTTCAGACCCTCATTACTCTGCTCAACCACCATTCTGAGAGGGCATTAATTTCCTGAGGTCATGAATATTCCCCCAAATTCAGTGATCTGAGCAAAGTAAACCTGGAACACAACAAAGTATTCTGGGAAAGGACATCAGGCAATGGGCTAAAGGGAAGAAACAAATTGAGCACCTTTTCAAAATTCCCAAGGCCAAACTCCCTAAGGCATGGAACCCAGAATCAAATTATTCTGTGTATTCCTGTACTTTTAGCACTGAAATTTTAGATTTAAATTGCTTCCTATTTAATTCATTGAACATTTAATAAACAACTACTAGGTGGCAGGCTTTCTCAGAGGCATTTTAATATTCTCAACAACCTCTGAGGTACATATTGTCCCCCACATTTTGCAAATAAGAAAATCTCAAAAATTAAACAATTAACCCACATCTGCACAGTTTTAAAATGGTGAATCTGGCATCTGAACTCTCAGCTTTCGCTCCAAAGTCTCTGCTGCCAAACTATAAAAATATTATAGGTTCATGAGACAAACAAAATGTAATTCTTAGGGGAAAAAAATCACCAGCTAGTAATGTTCTACATCTGTTTAGAAAGAGTAAAACTGGAGAATATCTATATAAACTGGCCACTATGCTATGGCCTCCTAGGTGTTCCAAGAATGCATTACCTTTTATATGCATTTATCTGTCTTCCAATGCACTAGCCTCCGTTCTAAAGTCTTTTTCTGTATATTTGTTTTTAAGCTACAAGGCAATGTTCTTATAGTCTCTCAGAATCACCAGGAATGACTTACATGGACATTTTCTTTTTAGATCTAGAGGAAGAAGAAATGTTAAAACTATTTACTTTAAAATTTTGACCTGTTTTTTTGGCAATCTGGTTCTAGAAGTTAAAATTAAGCTTATCTTATTTGACATTGCCAAGATGTGTATCATCTCTAAATATAACATTGATTTTTGAGTTCTAGAACCACTGCATGCATGGAAATTCCTCTCACAGCCCAGGTCTCTTTCCAAGATCTTCCAGCTCCCCTACGTTGCCAAGCTTCATACCTCATGCTGCCTTTGTTTCAGGGTAGATAAACTCATCTTAAGCAATACTGAGAATCAAGAGATCAAGTCTATTCAAAACGTTTTTCCCAGGGTAAAAATTTCTTCACCGCACCTACGTATTTACAACATAAGAAAAGCTCAAATCAGACATTTCAATGACACAAAACAAAACTCCACACGTAGGCATGTCAGGTAAGCAAGTGCTTGCTTACTCAGGTCTCCTTAGAGTGCCAGCACAAACAGAAGTCTGGCACCACTGTTCAGAGTCACAGATTTCTCAGACACAACAAAGTGGATGTTTATGCCCATGGGACTGAGCCCATTAATAGAAATCCCTCCCCAAGTCCTTCATGCTCTGCTACCAGGGACCACCTGTGGAAAAGACTGCACC